CAGATAAACAAATGAATACGATGCGGGGTACAATAAACAAATGGGTACGTTACGGAGTACAGTAAACAAAATGAATACGTGAGGACGTCGTACAATAAACAACTCGAACCCAGCCTTTTCCTACGGTCTTGAGGACGTACAGTATTACACGACACCTAAGTTGCGGGAGCGTGCTCATTTGTGGTGTCGTTTTTTTTTACCTCCTAAACTAGTTGTGTTTGTGTTTAATACGCCACTTCTGTCGAATTTTCCACAATCGCAATTTCATGACCGTTTTCTGTTACCGTTCCCGGTCGGATTCTAACTGTTGCTCTTATTTAATAGTGTTCGCACAAAGGCTACTGTATTGTTGAGAAACCATATTGCTAACTGCTTGTAAGTGTGTTATAAGTGTAGCTTACATGTTGGCGGAGTTAGTCTGGTTCTTCGTCAATTTCGATCTCATGACTATAAAAGTAGTCCTCACTGCGTGGAGTTCCGTGGCAAGCCAACATCAGCAGGAAATTACAGCTTACTAATAATAGATTGCAGCCATCCAAATTGTGTTGGGATTTAGGTCGTTTCATCATAATTGTTTTCGTTGTAAATACTATATAGGTAGCGGCCGAATAACTTGCACCAGTAGTGCTAACAGAAGTTTTAAGAAGGGGTTATCACGGTTGGAAAGTAAGTATGTTTGGTCTGCCAATTGAGTCAATCCTTCATCCGTCAGTTGTGAGGGCCAAAATCGTGCAGAAAAGTGAAGCTGGAACTACCGCGTAACCCAGTCAAACCTTCTGACACGGTTTTCAACAAATCATAACTACAGTAACCTTCACTGGCGGTTTGCGACCTTCCTCTTTTTCAAGGAAGGTTTGAGCCGAGAAAAACGGGACGCGAAGATTTGATTTGATTGGCCGGTGATAACCCCTATTAATAGTAAAGGCGTTCGCTGTGCTTATGATTAGCTTGTACCCCCCCCTCCCTGGTGTCCGTCTGTCCGTCCGAGGATAGGGTTAATAAATCTTAACCGATCTGAGCGCTGCGAAAGCGGCGTCGATTC